TTCCCCAAACTCTGGACTGAGCTATGCCAGACTCAGGTAAAGAAAGAGTTTTAGATGATTTGGTCTTTTATCTCTTAGTGACCATGTTAGTAATTTTAGGAACAATGGGTTAAAAACTGACTGGAAATTGGGGGTATTTTAGAATATTGGTAGGTAAAATATGACTAATAGAAATAACTATTAAGCATTGGGCATCCAGTGGCCCTTTGAGTTTATTTCAGTAGAGTTGTGAGAGAATATTTCAAATAAGCTGTTTGTAATTAAATTTCTTGCTTACAGGTTATTAGCAGTATGGTAAAAATTCCAAATAGAAAGCTATGAGGGGGAAGAAGGCATGTGTCTACTCGGGGCTTTCCCTGCCTCCCTTTGTTTGTTTCCTGCTTCCCCCCAGCATGCAGAACACTCCAGCATAAAACACTGTAGCCATCTGTCCATTAGTAGTGCTGCTCTTTTACTTTGGAATAGCTTTTTCAGGAGTCTAATGCATGTTTTCTTAACTGTCATTAAGAATAGAAAGCAACACTGTATCCTTCCAACTTTTAAGTACGTGCCAGCCTAAAGTAATTATTAAGTTGTGGAGGGAGAATGGCAGCCAGGAGGAGGAAAATCAGATTAGTCCATTAGTCCAATTTGGTTTGTCCCTTGGTTTAAGTATGAAGAATGGCCTCTAGCCTTTTCAGGAAAAAGTTGGTTTCTTGCCTGGTTGTATCTGTCTATCCCTTGAGGGAGAGATGAGTCAGTCTGTGGCATACACCTTTACCCACATTGCAGTATCTGAAATACACAACCTCCTGTCTAGACATTGGTAGGCTGTTCTAATGGATGTGTCTCAGGATACTATATTAGCTGTTTTTCTGTTTCCTTGTCCCTAATTGAACTCCTATTCCCTGAAGTGTTATTTTGTTTTCTGTAGTAGGACTCTTTGAAAGGCTACTATATTTGATCATATAGTCCAATATAATAAGCAGTCACAAAATGCTTGTTTTTTTTTAAGCTGAGTCATTTACTCATTGAAGCACATCTCTGCTTTTACTCCCTGTACTGCTGCTGCTCTTTTCATTATTCTTGATTTGGGTCGTTGCTTTTCTTAGTTTCTGTATTCTTTCATTGCCTGTTACTTTCCTACCAATTTGTCTATATTGCTCTCTACTATTCTTTGCTTTCTTTCCCCTCCCTACCCCGCCAGTTTTAGCTACCATCTAAAACTTCCCTTAAGACACAAACCATTATCTTCCAAAGCCCTTACAGCCCCAGTTTCTCAAGAACCATGCAAAAACCACCATATAGAAACCCTGACTGGTAGGAAAAAACAGCTTTTCAAGGATTTAAAAACCTTGAGTTTGGTCTTACTCGACTCTCAACTTCTTAGGTAGCCTTTGAATAGTATCTAAAGTTTTTCCTATTTAAAAAAAAAAAGTAGTCTGTTTTATCTTCCATATAAATCAAGGGGAAGTATCTACAGAAAGACATACTACTTGTGTTTAAGAGCCAACACCATTTGAAAACAGGAAAACCAAATTTTAGTAAAATTTCCGTATTTTGGGACCCACTACTTCTATGTGAGATAATGAGAGTCTGCTGTTCACCTTTGCAGTATTTGTAGGAGGGAATTTTCCAAACAAATTATTGCTGATGAGACTACAGAGTAAACACTTTAACGCATTTTAGGGAATTCTTAAAACTTGTTTCTCTTCATAGGTTTGGTTACCTATCATCCATTAATTGATCTGAAAACATTCTCAATCCTATTTAATACATCATTTTTTCCAAGTTAATTTTATTAACGCTGAATAAAACTGCATTAAAAATTTTATAGTTTTGCCATTCAGTCTTTCTTACAAGTCTCTTCCCATATTTTCAAGATATTTTTATTGGGACAACATTTGAAAGCTTAGTAGACGGAGTTCAAGAGTTACTTTTCTAGTAGGATTTAAAATGACTTTAGATGTTTATCAGAAAGTGTTTTAATATTTGTAGTTATTCAATACTACTTCTCTCCACTTTAGTCTGCTATGTCAAAAAACTGCATCAAGCTTTTGTGTGAAGATCCTGTTTTTGCAGAATATATAAAATGTATCCTAATGGATGAAAGAACTTTCCTAAACAACAACATTGTCTACACATTCATGACACATTTCCTCCTAAAAGTAAGTTGTATTTTGGAAATGCCGTTACTTACAATAAACTATTTTTTCATTCTATTGGTCTTTTGGAAATTTCTTAAAAATCTTTTTCAGGTTCAAGGTCAAGTGTTTTCTGAAGCAAACTGTGCCAACTTGATCAGCACTCTTATTACTAACCTGATAAATCAGTATCAAAGTCTCCAATCTGATTTCACCAACCGAGTTGAAATTTCCAAAGCAAGTGCTTCTTTAAATGGGGTAAGAAGTATGAAAATGATCGTGTACTTCATGACTTTCTTACATTAACTCTAAATTTAACCTTTAAACTTTTAATATTGAAGCAATTACTTGATAAAGAGTCAACAAATTTTTAGTCTTTTGTTCACTCTATCTTTTAGGAATGTAAGTTTTTATTACCTTAGAAGGTGGTAGGGGCTAATGTCATTAGGATAAATTCCCTTTATCTACTTGTGTACGTCTTAAAAATATTACTTGTGATGTTACTAGAAAAATGTCATGACTTTTTGCTACAAAAGTTGTCAGAAGTCATGAGTTTTTGCTAGAAAAATGTCATGACTTTTCCGACAACCCAATATTTTGCCAGAGCTAATGATTAATTATAATAGATATGACTAAGGAATTAGTTACCTTGTGTAGTTGCCTGTGAACGTGATGTCAGCACATCATCCAGCAGCATCCTCCCAGGCAACAAGATACATGTTACAAAGGTGAGGAAGACCATGTTATTTGTGACATCCACTGGAAATGAGCATATATGAAAACTGATTTCTAAAATCAGGTCTGATTTTCTCATGGACCACCTAGTGTTTTTCTTTTTTTTTAAGATTTATTTATGCAGACAGAACTGGGATACAGGCCACAGGTACAGGGGCAGTGAGAGGATTCACCTGAGACAGAGTGGGAAGCAGAATAGGCCTACTGATAAAGTACACTGCTGAGGGGAGCAGCGGGCGGGCCAGGAGAGGTCTGCCATGCCCATGTGCGTCACCTCCAGGGCAGGTGGGGATGGAACTCATGCTGAAGTGGCTTTAGCTTCTTAGTGCTGTGCTTTAGCCTGCTGTGCCACCAGGGAGGGCCCTACCTATAGTGTTTTTGTTTTTGAATGAAATACCTGTTTTTCTTTTCCATTTTCAGAAAAAAACACTATTTGAGTCTGCACTCTTAACTAGTGCAGGGTATGAGGTAGTGAATTGGTAACAAACAATAATATCCCAACATTGGCTTTTTGTAGTCAATATTCTTCTAGAAAATGCCAGAGAAATCAGAATGGCTTCCTGGGAACGTAAATGTGTACATTAAACTATAAACAACTGTCTAAGTGTTGGCCTTGGAAATTAAAAGTGTTCCTGTCTGGGTTTTTGTAGGACCTGCGGGCACTTGCTTTGCTCCTTTCAGTACACACTCCCAAGCAATTAAATCCAGCCCTCATTCCAACTCTGCAAGAGCTTTTAAGTAAATGCAGGACTTGTCTGCAGCAAAGAAACTCACTCCAAGAGCAAGAAGCCAAAGAAAGAAAAACTAAAGGTTAGTTTTATGAGCTGGTATCATTACTTTTAAGGTGGGGAGAAAAGGAAGAATGCATTCTATGTACCTGACTTAGAAGCATGTAAACGCTAAAAATGAAGTTTCCCACAAACACCTGCCCCAGTGTGATTTTTAAAGGTTCCCCTCAGATGTTTTGATGTTCACTTTCACAGATGATGAAGGGGCAACTCCTGTTAAAAGAAGACGCGTGAGCAGTGATGAGGAGCACACTGTAGACAGCTGTATCAGCGACATGAAAACAGAAACCAGGGAGGTCCTGACCCCAACTAGCACTTCAGACAATGAGACAAGAGACTCTTCAATTATCGATCCAGGAACTGAACAAGATCTTCCTTCCCCTGAAAGTAGTTCTGTCAAAGAATACCGAATGGAAGTTCCATCTTCATTTTCAGAAGACATGTCAACTATCAGGTCACAGCATGCAGAAGAACAGTCCAATAGTTGTAGATTTGAAGATAGTAAAGAATTTAAAGACCTCCACTGTACCAAGGATTCAAACCTAGCAGAGGAAGACTCCGAATTCCCTTCTACTTCTATCTCTGCTGTTCTCTCTGACTTGGCCGACTTGAGAAGTTGTGATGGTCAAACTTTGCCCTCCCAGGACCCCGAGGCTGCTTTATCACTTAGTTGTGGCCATTCCAGAGGACTCTTTAGTCACATGCAGCAACACGACATTTTAGATACCCTGTGTAGGACCATTGAATCTACGATCCATGTGGTCACAAGGATATCTGGCAAAGGAAACCAAGCTGCTTCTTGACAATAGGTGTAGCATGTCTACTTTTAAGGTCTCCCTTTCCCACAATGCTGTTTGTATAAGTTTTGCTTATTTCTGTTTTGTGCTTCATTTTGTCCAGTGCTCTCTGCTTGAATGGCAAGATAGATTTATATAGGCTTAATTCTTGGTCAGGCAGAACTCCAGATGAAAAAATTTGCATCTTCAGTATACTTTCTAAAGGGCAATCAGATAATGATATGTTTTATGTAATTAAGAGTTCACTGTAGTGGCTTTCATTTAATATGGCTGTCTGGGAGAAACAGGGTTTCGTAACCCTGTACAATGTAATTTAAACTTACAGCATTTTTACTGTGTATAATATGGTGTCCTCTGTGCCAGTTTTGTACCTTATAATAGAGGCAGGTTGCCTCCGATCGCTGTGGTTCTTATTATCAAAATTAAGTTTACTTGTATACGGAACAACCACAAGAAATTTGATTCTGTAAAGAATCCTCTTTAGCTGTGGCCTGGCAGTATATAAATGGTGCTTTATTTAACAGAATACCTGTGGAGGAAATAAAGCACACTTGATGTAAAAATAATTGTTTTATTTTTATTGATATGACTGATTGCTATTCTGTGCACTTAATTAAAACTGATTGTGATGACTTTTCATTTGTTTACAAACGTTGCTTCAGTCTTCTCAGATTAAACTTTATGAGAACATTGTGACTGGGTAATGCTCAACCCTATGTTCTATTTCATTATAAGGCGGCAGTCAGAAAAGTAACTTAGCCTATAGGCCAACCAAGAATGGCACGGAGAAGCCATAATGATATAGCCAACTAACCTGCCTGCACCGCGACATGCCTGAGAGCTACACATCTTAAGAAACCTTTAGCATGAACCTACTGTTTACTTTTGGTATTCCTGGACTAAACTGCAGCTGAAAAGCAAGACTGAGCAACTTTAACTACGGTACTCTGGGAGGTAAGGCTAATACCTAATTTTACAGTGCTTGTCACTCAATGCAGAATCTAGCTGTAGAGAGTAAACATTGCCTTAAGATATGTAGTTCTTGGATTTCATTCCATGTACATCGAGTGTTATTTTAAAGGCGTAATAAGAGATAAACTTGACATTTTATCTACTTACAAAAATAATGCCCTTATAAAATCTAATTCAACCATTTAGGGTGGTCAGTTGCAGTAAACTCTTTATTTCTTCAAAATGCTGCTTCTGCCAACAGAATTTCATGTTTTCTTCTTTACAGACTGGAACTCCTTTACAGTCCAGTTGTAATTCAGTTTGTCCTGGAGTAGGCAGAAAATCCAATGCAACTGTTGCATAGTGCTCTGGAAGAAAACCAAAAGTTTATTAACTGCACCATCAAGGAAAAATTTACACATATTGTCTACTTGGTCTTCATACTTAAGGTGGGGAAAACATCAAGTTTTTTTGAACCCTTAAAAGTTACCAAGAACGTACCTTCTGGCCAGTTCCTACATCTCCACTTCATGACGATCTTTTTGTTTGTTAACTGAAAACAAGGGAAAGCCCATTGAAAGCAGCTTTTAAAAAATCTCCTACAATACAAGACAGAAAAGCACCAGATCCTGTCAAGGTTTTACTAAGTACTAGAAGAATAAAAAACAGCAGTCTTCCAGTTTACATGCCAACCTCATGGAGAATTAGATGTGCCTACTGTCAAAATGCCCCAATATCAAGGATAGAAAACTTTGCAACTTCTACACAAGTATCTGCACAATTGCTAGAAGACTAGGGGGTTATCTTTATCATTACACAGTGTATGACAGTTTTTGTTTGCTCTGTAATTAACTTTATATAATAAAGTCAAGGTTCCTTATGTCTAGGTAAAATCCCAAAGCAAGTTAAGAACATGGATTTTTGAAAAGGGATTTTAAAGCAGTATAAACAGTCCGAGCTTGCTTTTCCATAACTTTACAATTACTTACCAGTTCTACATATTCACCGGTGATATTCCCATGAAACATTTGGAATTTCCCTCCCTTTTCAGCTTCTACTACAGCAGGAGATTTAGAAAATTTTTGCACCAACTAATAAGGTAAAACATAGAGATGTTATTACAGTATGTTATCAACTTTCAACCTACATGTAAAATACAAACATAAGTTACTACGGTTTGGGTTTGGTTTTCATCTGTATAGTTTTACTTAAAAAGGGAACGCTTCATCCTCCCCTCTTTCAGAGTTAGAAAACTCACTAAATACATCTCACCCCCAGCCCAGCAGAAAGAAATATTCAGAAGCTATACCCGCAATACTTCCATCACCACCTTTCTAGGTCCTTTCACTCAAGTACCCAGGCAGGAAGCCAAAAACCCCGCCCCAGTTTTGGCTGCACATTTTCTTAGTGTCTACATGTAAAATCCTGGCTTGAGAAGTTACTTACATCCTTCATGGTGAAGATGCGGTACAGCTGTTCTACAGCTGTGTCAAATAGTTCCGTCATATGCAATGCAACAGTGGGGATCCTTACACCCAATGCCACTGGAGGGGAAGCCTGAATCTCAAGAGGTTCCAAAGAATAATTAGTGTGTTTAGACAGAACTACTTAGACTTGACTTACTTCACTCTTCCAGCCTTAAAACTGTCCCAATTTCCACACTACCCCTTCCAGAGACATGAAAAGCCTTTTAGCACCAACAGCTCATTGGCTCTGCAATAACCTCAGACTATGGCTGAACACCTCAAATCCTATTTATTGCCCAAGAGCAGAAAGAGCACATGAAGGACAGTAGCCATAAAGACAAAATCTACTGCCACCTCACAGATTCCTAGAAGAGAAGCAAGACCTCCCAACCTAAGTCTAGAGAGAAGGGTCTTCCACTGAGGTATATGAACTTTTGAGCCACTTGATTTTACAATCTGCTGCTACCAAAAAATACTGCCTTTCTAAACTCTGTATTTGTCCCACAAAAAGGCCTTGTCTATACATTCCCTGTCATCAAGGATGAAAAATTTGATTTCATCACTTTCAGAGAACATGGCAGGGCACGTGGGTGCCATTAGCTGGCCCTCCTCACAATCCTTTACAGTTGTCTGCTGTTAGTGAGAGTTCTGCAGCGCCCACTCCCAGTCTCCAGTCATAAACTACTGGCCACCAGACGTCATACCTGCAATGCATTCTCACTCAGTTTCCTTTTAACAGTCAATTCCTGAGTTGGTTTTGTTGGTAAAATCATTCCTATTGTAAATTCTACAAAGAAACAGAGTTACTTTAATGAAGATCTTCTTCCTTTTTAGAACAGTCAAAAAGCCCAAAACAGCATGTAGTGAACTGATACTTATAGGGACTATTATTATACAATTTCAGGACCATTTTATATTACCACATACCAAATTAATTATAAACACAAGTCCCATAGCAACAAATGCCTCACTCTTTCTTTTAATATTTCACTTTATCTAGTTCTTGCTAAAATAGAAATATTTTCTGATGTCCTTTCTCAAAAAGCTCAGTTTTATACAACTTTGTCTTTACCCACTGTCAGAGCTGGATATAAATAGCGCTTTACCACCACCTCACAAAACTTCGCCTGGCAGTATTCAACCCTGGGTCAGCCACAAAGGTAGTCTCATGGGAAGGTGGCAACCCCAGGCCCATCTATGCCAATACACAGATACTCATTGCACAGTTCAAAGATGAGGCCCTGTTGGTCGTTTTTCCTGATGAGCAGCTGCTCTAATTTAGGGATGAGGACAATTTCATTCCACTCAGAGTAGGGGATTACCTAGGTAAGCCAGTACTTGTTATACCTACTGTCACTTTCATTCATTCATTCAACAATGACGTATTAAGCACCAACTGTGTGCTGGGCATTGTGCTAGATGCTGGAGATACAGCAAGTGAACAAGACAGACACCTTCCATGCCCTCATGGAGCTTATAGTCTAGCAATGAAGACAGACATTAAACAATAATTACACAATCAACTGATTAATATTCCAGAAAACTACTATAGCAATTCTGTAGGCAAAATGGTTCACACTGTGTACAGTATGATAATCATCAGTTACGGTCTTTCAATTAGCTCTCATCCTCCAGCTCTTACATTACCTTGCAACACAAAGAACTATTTCTGGAAACAGAGACATCAGCCTAACCTGGGAATCCAACCACACCATAATTTGAGTAAATATATAACTTAGATGAATAGAAAAGGGACCCTCTGGTTCACAAGGGACACCTTCTTTACCTGTCTTAAGTGCCTTCAGGTAATCTCCAAGGGCCTCCCTGACCCTGGCAGTGCCTGCAGTTTTCATAAGTTCCTTCAGTATGTCCCCATCTCCTTTCCTTTTACTCACATTCACCTACAAATCAGAAAAATACAAATCTAAGAAAAATCTGGTTTGATGTATTCTTACAAACACTGAGATAAATGAGAATACTGATAGTGTAGGGAGGGGAAGAGGTGAATATAAAAGATGAGACAGGTTTCTGCACAGAGTTTGAAAAGATAACATAGGTTTCTAAATCAAGACTTCACTGATTTGGTGGCTGGCCACCAAATCTTGAATAAGTTTTTTTCTCTGCATAGTTTTTTACTCTGTGTTGTGTTGTTATATTGATCATGTAGTCCATGGCTTTTATTGAGGTCTAGAAATGTACTGTCCAGTGTGGTAGCCACAGCCACATGTGGCTCTTGGACATTAATATGTGGCTGATCTGAGATGTGCTATAAAACAAAAACACACTAGATTTTGAAGACTTAAGAGAAAAAATGTAAAATAACCCCAATAATAATTTTGATAGTAGTTACTTATAAAAATGTTAATTTTAATATTTTGGCTAAATAAAAATTGTAATTTCACCTGTTTAACTTTTTTGTGGCTACTAGAAACATTTTAGTTCCATGTGGCTCACATGATATTTCTATTGAACAGTGCTGATCTAGAACCCCAAAACCACTGTGACTTGGAACACAAAGTGTCAACATAAGCTGGCTTAAACAACCCTTTTTTGGCAAGGAAGAGAGCTGGAAAGGACAGAAAAAGGTAAAAGAAGAAAAGGGTGGGAGGAAGGAAAAAGGACAGTGGAGAGAGTGAGGAGGGAGAAGAAAGCTGCTGCTCTAAGGATGCCTCTGCGGTCTATTCAGAATGAAAAGGGGCATGTTTGGAGTCACTACTGTCCCTGTGGCTCAGAGGAGCGGGTCCCAAGTCCCAGTTCCAACATGAAGACTCTGTTCCATAGTGACACCATTGGAACGAGAAGACCAGTTTACCCTGCCGACAGAAATCCTCTCAGCAGATGGCTCTGATTGCAACACACCGAAAGCCCAGCCCCTGTAACCACACAGCACCACGTCTGAAGATATGTTTGAGACAGACCCACTAATGGCATTTTACAACCCATAATAAAGGCCAGTCATAGACAAACTGCTTGGTATGATTTACTTTTTAAATACTTGAAGGAGTTCACACTGAACATGTCCACAAATGAAGAAAGCCCTTTGTCAACCTATCATAGTTTAGAAAATACAGCTACTGTACAAATGGTCTGACCCCAGAATCAGTTGTCGACTTAAGAGGGGCACTAACTAAAAAGTCTGGTAATTACACAGGCCCTATTTCCCAAAGAACTAGGAAAGCCAGTCTAATGGAATATGTACTAACAAGTTTAGGGAAAAACATGCAGTATGAAAAAACACATGATACAGCCAAGATCACAGCTAGAAGGTGAGAATTCTCACTATTAAAGGGAAACAGGAAAGGGGTAAGAAGGGAGGAAAAAATACCATTTGCCAAGTTGTGCAAGCTGCCTCAGCACTTTATATACATGCACTGTCATATTTAATTGATAACGCCCTGGGGAAGATGCACTAATCCCATAGATTAGAAGGCCACAGAGGGCAGTCACCTGTCCAAGCTCCATACCTGGCTTCCTAGGCCTAGCCTGTTTCCTAAGCACTGCCCCATACCTCTTGCTGCCCCCCTCAACACTGCAATTCTTCTCAGCCCTCCAAAACTACTCCCAGGATTCATGCATCATAATGTGTGTGATTGGTAAAGTTTTTCAAGTTCCCAGTATCTATAGTAGAATCGTGATTTTGAAAAAAGACAAAAACTCCGTCAGATACTTCACCTCAGTGTCGTCTACTTCATTTTCTTCAGAAAGGTTGGGTATTTCAATCAATCCCTTGTGCTTCCCATCAGATTCTTTAATTGTACCTTAAAATAAACAAAATGTGACCTTCACTTATCAAGTAGTAGCTGGCTATGCAAAACTGCCCTGTCTAAGTGAGCAACCCGCCCCTCACAGGATGCCACCAGCGCTGGTGACAAGGTAAGTTTGCAAAAAATACAGAATGTCCCTGTTCACCTGTCCCATGTGAGAGGCAAGCAAATAAAAAAGGCAGGGGCAGAACCTGGCCAATGAAGACACACATGAACTCAAGGGCCAGACGAAGTGTGAGGCTGCAGTGAGTGGGTCTTTTTCTGTCCCCAAATATTCTTTGCCATGTCAAACAGGATACAGGCTTATCTTAAGGAGAAATCACAAAAGGGAAAGGAGGACAGACAGAACTCATAAAGGAGAGCTGACCAAGAAAAGCAGGGACAGAGGTAGTTAGGGGAAGTTCTGTTTGGATCCCATATAAGCTCTATTTCTTTCAAGACCAGAATACTGATTTCAGGTTATTCCCAATGTCAGTTCCTCTTATAAGACCAAAAGCAATTATATGTAGGCAAGACACTACTGTAAAAACACCAGTAACCAGGAATGAGGATGAAGCACATGCCAGACCAGACTAGTAAGGACTGCATGGAAAGGTTAAGATGAGACACTACACTTTAATGTCATGTTTACTTGACTTGATTACATGTTTACTGAGCACACAGTGTCTCCAGAAGGGGAACAAAGCAGAGTATGGACATTCAGAGTCCTTACTATTTTCAGAGGTTTCTTATAAGATCCACACAGGCCTCACCTCAAGGGAGCCACTGGGAATAAAACAGGGATAGAGCTTCATTAAGCAACACTTAGATCTTGGTGGACCACATTCTTGCTTCAGGGGGTGTATGCACAGAAATCCCTACCACCTGTGCCTACCTGTGGAGATAAGTTGGTGGTCCCTTCTGGCCAGGGAGTTTGGTTGGCAATTCTGCCTGATCTGGTCTCCAATCGATAGGCCAAACTCAATTGTGGAGTCCATTCTATTACCACACCCAGTTCACTGAGCTGCTGCACACTCCAGTCTCAACATCCAGAAAGTTTATCCAGAAAACTGGGTCAGCCTCGGAGTCTGCCTTATAGTCCTACCCTGATGGGTAGCCAGCCAGCAGTCCTGCCCAACTACTGAACACAACCTCTGGTTCCAATAAGCACGGAACCTAAACGGTGACCAGGGGCAGCCTCTGAGAACAGCCTACAGCCCTGCTCAATTACTAAAAAGTTTACAATGTTCTCCAAAAAGGGAGCTTCAATAGGAACCCCACTTCAACCACGAAGACCAACCTACAGCCAAACCATAACGTAGAGCCCACCCAGTGAATGGCACCCCTACCTTTTCAGCAGATTCGAGGGCCCACCCAGCAGGAGCAACTGCAGAGCTGACTCTGTAACCTGCCTAATTGCAGAGTCCAACCTGTGGCATGTCTGCTAAAAGCCATACCAGAGACCCTGCTGGAACAGATGCAAGTGCAGAGCCCCTCTGGTGCCCCCTCAAGAGCAAAGTTAACAGCCCCATCTAATTAAGGAGCCCACCCAATAGCTCTGCCTCCACTCACAGACCAGCCAGCAGCATGACCTCACAGCACAGACATGCCCCACCCAATTAGTCCCTAACAGCAAGCCCAGCTTACCAGTCGGTGTTATGAACAGTCAGGTGCCCCAAGCCTAGCGTACTGGTGAAGACAACCTTTCCCTACTGAAGTACTTGGAGATACCGATCCAAGGAACCGAGGACCATGAACACCTAAATATGCCACCAGCAATGGAAGCTAATATAGCCCCAATAAATAACCCTAACAATATGAAGACATATGAATGATCTGACCAGAAATTCAAAACCTCTAAAAATGCTTGCTAGCCTCATGAACAAGCAACTGAAATTAGGAAAACAACTGAGATGTGAAAATGCACAAAATGATGGAAAAATAAACTATTTAAAAGAAAAAAATTAGGAAAACAATGTATGACCTACATGAAAAATTCAACAAGAGGCCATTCCCCCCCCACCAAAAAAATTCTATACCTTAATTATAAGGAGTGAACTGAAGACAGCTTCAACAGCTGACTCAAATAACCAAAAGGATTATGAACTAGGGCCCTCCCTGCTGGCTCAATGGGAGTGTTAAGACCTTTCCTGATCCGCCTGCTGCTTCCTTAAGCAGTGCATTTCAGTCAGTCTGCCTGTTCTGCTCCCCACTCTGTCGCTGGTAAATCCTTTCACCCGCTGTCCTCTGGCCCTAGTTCCTGTATGCACAAATAAACAAATCTTTTTTTTAAAAGTTATGAACTAACCATAAAATATCTGGAAGCAAAGATGGGCGAAACACTACATGATATACACTTCAGTAATAGTAAAGGAAAGGGAACTACATCAAGTTAAAGAACTTCTGTACAGCAAAAATTACAAAAAACAGACATCCCACTGATTGGAGAAAAAATTTTCTCACACAAAACTAGTGATAAAGGATTGATCACAAAGATATACCTAGAACAGGTGAAACTCAACAAAAATAAACAACCCCATCAAAAAATGGGCAGAAGAGCTAAAAAGACACTTCTCCAAAGAAGAAATGCAGATGGCCAACAAGCATATGAAAAAATGTTCAACATCACTTGTAATAAGGGAGATGCAAATTAAAACCACAACGAGATACCACCTCACTCCAGTGAGAATGGCACATCTTCAAACAACTAGCAACAACAAATGTTGGCGAGGATGTAGAGAAGAAAGGACTCACCTGCACTGCTGGTGGGAATGCAAACTAGTACAACCACTATGGAAAACTGTTTGGCAGCTCCTCAAACTGCTAAACATGGAGCTTCCATATGACCCAGCAATCCCACTCCTAAATATCTACCCAAAAGACACAAAAACACTGATTAAAAAAAAACACCTGCATCCACATATTTATTGCTGCTTTAGTCACAACTGGAAAGACATGGAATCAACCCAAGTGCCCAAAAGTAGATAACTGGATTAAAAAGATGTGGTACATATGTACACAATGGAATATTACTCAGCAACTAAGAAAAAAATAAACACATGTCTTTTGCAGCAACATGGATGGAGTTGGAAAGGATCATGCTTAGTGAAATAAGCCAGAAAGAAAAGGAAAAATACCAGATGGTTTCACTCATAGCAAGAGTGTAAAGGACCGGGGGAGAAAATAATAATAATGAACAGCTATATACCAGAGACATTTTACAGGTGTGGAGCGGGGAATGGGATCAAAAACAGTGGTGGAGAGAAGTGCACTGGACTATGGTGACTGCACACAGATGATCTGGTGTTGGGAAGCCCATGGGGACTGCAATTGAGATGGGAAAAGGCACAAAATCATGTAAAAATAAACTATTATAAAAAAAAAGTTATGAACTTAGATGATAAAGTTATCCAATCAGAAGGAAAAGTAATGAAAAAGAGCAAAGAAAGTCTGAAGGACTAATAAGATATTTTCACAAGAAACAAAACATGTATTGGGGGAATCCCAGAAATAGGGAAGAGAGAAATATACAGGAGGTCCATTTAAAGCAGTAATAGTTGGAAACTTTCCAACCTGGGGAGAGAAGTGGGGCATCCAAATTCATGAGGCCCATCACACTCCCAAATATGCTGAAATGAGGGGCCTCCTTGGTAGTGCAGGGGTTAAGCCTCAGCACTTATAATATCTCCAGGGTCTGGAGAACCAAACCCCTGGTCCAGATGGGAGAAAGCATGGATAGCTATACTTTTTAGGTAATAACTTTGAACTAAAAGTGGTCAAAAGCAGTAAAAAAAGATCACCGTATAATACTAAAGAGATTAATTCATCAAGAAATATAACAACTGTAAATTTATGTACCCAACATTAGAATACCTAAGTGTACTGAGCAAATACAAACAGAACTAAACCAAAAAAATAAAAATTAGCAATAAAATAACTGGGAAAATTTTTTGAATATTTATTTTTATTTATTTACGCATACAAGAACTGGGGCATAGTAAGAGGTACAGAGAGTAAGAAGATTCACCAGACACATAGTAAGGAACAGAACAGGCAGATCAAGTGAAATACACTGCTGAGGGGACAACAGGTGAAAAGGAGAGGTCTGCTGCTTAAGCACAAGAAGACATCTTGCCAGCTGTGTGAGTGGCTTAACCTTTGGGCAACTGATTAATATCCACCCTGATCGCAGTAGCACATGTGAGGGAGATTTCCTCCTGCCCCCAGGCCAACATCCTGGGATTAAGGGTATAAAAGGGAGGCTGGAAAGGATAAGAGAAAGAGAGAACGTTTTGCTGCAACCATCTACGTGTGCTGACTCTTCAACCTCGACGTCCCCCGCGCAGACTCGTATCCCTGCCGTGCAGGCGCAGCAGGAAACCATGAAAGGAACTGGACCAACCTACTGAAGGCTGTCACTCCCAGGGAACTTCATGACACTGGCAGAGAGCAGGGTCTCAACACCAGAATTACTAAGACTCAGAAGCAGCATTGTTACATCACCAGAACGGTATAACCAGTGTGGATGGGAAGGTATGGAATCCAGAAGGCCACACTAGCCTGGACAAAATGGGACAGTTGCCTACGCGCCAAAATCAAGGGAGTCCAGAGACCCATTCCACACACCTGCCTTACAAGAGATTCCTGTATGCTTCACAGCTGCACCTGGGCATTACAGCAGCCTGGTCCATTGCGGTCCAGGAAACCAGGTCCTCACACAGGGAGAGAACAAGGTCCCAGGAAAAAGACAACCACAGATCTACGTTTTGCAGCAGGGGGCAAGTGGGAGTGATCAGAGCAGAGGAAGGGCACGTGGGGGGCCTGGGTGGTGGTACAAAGGAGGGCCAATCCTGAGGGGAACAATGACTACAGAAAGAAGACCCACAATGAAGAAAATAAATTTATTTAGGGCTCTCACAGGAGTTCGATTCCTGGCCCCAGAGGTAACCCCACATGGCGCAGCAGACCTCTCCTGACCCACCCACTACTCCCCTCAGCAGTGTACTTCCTCAATC